ATAACTCAAGCGATTAAGTAATATGGTAATTACAAGTAAATGCTTCCACGCTTAACAGTAAATAAGCTAAATGCTTTATTGAAAAATGTTTAATTTTTTTCTTCTAGAGAACCATTAATTAAATTGTAGATAATATAATGAAATATATCGCTCGAAATATTATGCCTTTTAATGATGTAATTTTACTGAGCTTTGTATAGCGAGTTTTTGTCTTTATTTGATCAAAGTTATAATTTTTTTTTTTTTTGCATTTCTTGTAATTAAAGAGAGTTGTCAGCAGCTTATAAAAGGCGAGCTTTTAATTGTTTTACTGAAGAGAACGTCCGTTATAATTGTCTGATTTAAATGAAAATTGAAATACTCATAAAAAGATGAAGTACTGAAGAAGAAATTTAATATTGATTTTTTATATAAGTATGAGATAAGAGCAGTGTAAAAAGATTGTCAATTAGGAGGAACTTACTAATATTTTTAAAAATCCGGATGTTATTTTTATTCAACTTGACAAATTAAAAAATTTTGTGAGTATCGTAAAACATATTTTCAAAAAAATTATTCTTCTAATTTCAATATCGTATATGCGTAGATATTTTAAAAATGAAGTACACACAAATTTCTCTAGCAATAACGTCAATATCAAATGCACATATGCATTACATTAAACAATTTTACTTACTTATATTATTATTAAATGCAAAATAAAATTATCTAAAAAATGACTATTTAATAAAAGAAAAATCTTTACTATAGTATAAAATAATTTCCCTTCATTCGCCTTCACATGTGCAATGACCGAAGTAACCGTGTCGATGTATATAGGCGAAGAGGGAATGCAAAGCCTCTTTATTTTATAAAAAAAGATGTTAACTTAATAAAATATATGACATATCAAATTTTTATATGTTATATTTTTATCATATTTCTATAATTTTTTTAAGGCATTTAAAAACATTTCCCGAAACTATTACACATATATCTATTACCTATATATATGTGTGTATCATTTCTATATTTTTTTATACTAAAAAAAATTATTACAGGCATACGTCTGGCTTGACTAAATTTAATTTATAACTATCTATTAATTTCAGGTATAAATCAGATGTTTGTATAGTGAAAGAAATACGCGGTCCACGACGTAGGTTTGTAGGTGAATTCCAGCGTGTATCGCTGTTTTACATTATGTCTAACGCCATACTACTTTGAAATGATAGTTGCACCCTCATAGACAATGGAGAGATTTCTCTAACTGAGTGATTTTCTCTCGTTGTGATTTCTGCTTGAGCATTGTTTAGATTCATCTCAGCTTCTCTATCGATCTCTCTTTTTTTCATAAAAGTTCATCGTTCAAGTAAACGGCCTTGTTCTTTGTATGTGTATGGACCGTATAGATGTATTCCACAATATACACTAGATCTTTCCGCGTTATACATGATACAAACGTCAATGTTCGACGTAAAAGTTAATAGAATTTTAAAGTAAATATCCTTATTTCACTCGTTTTGCTAAAAATTTATTCTAAGCGTACTGCTATATTTAATTACTATGAAAGTCGTTATTTAATAGCGTAATTAATCTATTTTTTAAATATATATGATTACATATTATATTTTAGTTAAAAAAAGAGAATAAATAAGATTACAATAAATGCTATACTTTCGACTAAAAACTAAAGTTGTAATACATCGTTATGATTACATATTATATTTTAGTGCATCCCTCCTTTAATAAATAGAAATAATTAAGATGCAATTGTATTTTTACTTGTAATAAAAATTATATAAATTTCAAGGAATTAAAACTATTTATTTTAAACCTGATCTATTTTTTCAAGACTGTAACACTTGAAAATTTCTTCGAATAGCAAAGAAATTTTGGCAAATTGCGCGTACGACACACTGCATGAAAGCGAGAGCATCAGACTCTCGAGATTGTCGTCTTTAAAGGAATATAACCGTGTGTAGGACAAGCTTGCTCAGAACGATTACACGAGTGACCGATCGGCAGTGAGGAACAGACTCACCACCGCCCATCAGCCACCACAGTCTCTCCGCCACCCTCCACTTCTTCATCCCGCTCTTATCATACCGCTCCTCTCTTCATCTTCTCTACCCTGACATGGCACATGCCCGGCGTCTCGTGCCCCTTCGTCGAGCTAGAATTCTCGCTCCGTTTATTTTGCGCGACGAAGAGGCTGATCTCGACGGTTTACAATGTACGAGCATTAATACGTCCCACGTTGCTAGGGCATTAGTGTCTTTTATGCGCTACGATTCCAAGAGGTGGTCTTGCGATCGACATTTATATGGATGCATCTTTTATTATTATAATTAGGAATTAATCGAATCAATGCGCATATATTCCCCAACTGAGAATCTCTATTATCGTTAAAATTCTGAATGAATAAACTGAAGTAATGCTTTATTATAGCAAAAGAAATCTATTATAACAATTCGTATATATTCATTAAAAGACGGTTTATCGGGTACAATTATTTTGTAACATACTGCGGATATATTGTGAACATGTATAATAAGTATACGGCCACCAGTTACAAGTTTATGCATATCGTTGACGTTAATCCTTGCGGTAATATTATCGTCCATTTATATAAGCAAATCGATATTAGCCCGTAGAACAATCTACTAGTGTATTTAAGGTGTACTTGCGTAACTATACGTAAACTTACATACGATTATTTGTATTCGACTTGAGGGTATATATTGTAATATATATTGTATTCTCTATTTTCATAATCATTTAAAATTGAAAAGGAAAAGAGATGTAAAAAGGAAAAAAAAGCAGTGAAAAATTTACAGCGCAGAAGGAAAACAAATAATATCACACATATATTATATGTATCGTAATCACCAAAGAATTGAAAGAACGATTAGGAAAAATATATTGCAAAATGTATTTTACAAAAAAAAAATTATAAAAAAACACGCAGAGCTAAAACAGTTCTGATAATCACTGAAACATTTAAAAAAACATAAAAAATTGGATAACTGAGACAATAGTGCAAGTCGCATGCTATCGTAAACTAAACAGGAAAAGATTTAAATAAGAAAATTTTAAAAAAAGAGAATAAATAAGATTACAATAAATGCTATACTTTCGACTAAAAACTAAAGTTGTAATACATCGTATATTTATGTTTATCGACAGCCAACGATAGATTATTGATGCAGAGACAAAACCATAGAATATTCAGGTATACTCGCGAACGGAAATCAAAGGATGGAAAAAAACTGATACCTCTTTTTTTTCTTTTTTCCACAAAGTTTGACTTAATATATGCGATAGAATTACATATACGAGAGTTTATTTCTTCATGTCTATGAACAAAACTTATCGCCTTCATTTCGAAAAGAGTAAAGGCAATATTATTTTTGCTATACTTAATGATATAATGCGCAATTATTTAATTGTTTGGTCAGAAAATGCGTTGATTCAACATCGACACAATTTATAATGCGCTGGAATTATTTAATTCATTCACATATTTACGCGGTATAGATACAACATGCCAATGCCATGTGTTTACAAACGATATTGAATCGCGCTGAATAGAAACGTATTAAACTGAAATTGATCAACGTTTCACACAATACGACGGCGATAATAAATAGGACATAAAAGAATATTAAAAAAAAATAAAATATAACAACGTTACTCAGTCAATAGCTTTTACACATAAGACACTGGTCTATTGCATGTCATTAAGTAAAAAAAAATCATGTGTTATTTATTTTCTTCAATTTTTTTTATATTTCTAAATATAAGGAAATAATATTATAGATAAGATATCGAACATTAATAAAAATTAAACTTTAGTAAATCTGCTAAATAAAATTGATTACATTTGATTACTATTAACAGATAAATACTATTAAAAGATAATTATTTTTTTTTTATTTACGTAATTAACAATCTGTTATAAAAAATAATTAGCTAAACGAATGTATTATATATAATATAACCGCATAGATACTTTTATCGCGCACATATGAAGTTATTCTGTTATACTGCAAAAGAAAATAACTAATAAAAAAAATTATATTATATGGAACAATTCGCATATAGTGTGTTGAAGAAAAATTTGTATTATCAAAATATATAAGCAAATAGTCTTTAATGTATTTAAAAAACTATTATTTAAATTAAATTTATTAAATAAAATTATTATTTAAATGTTTTTGCTCAATCTCAGAAATTGCCAATAAGTCTGTGCAGGTATTTTTTATTAGGAAAATATTTAAAACTCATTCTTGATTAGCAACTGGAATGTATCTTGCCCATCTTTCGATGGCTTATTGATATTCTTCGGTCTTGCCGTGGCGCAAAATGCTTTGAGAAAAGTATGCCTTTATCCTATCCTTCCATTCGCCAATTATAGCTTTACTTTGAAAGGTAGCGGTACTTTTAAACTCGTATATAAAATTGTATAATCTATTGAGAAGCACAACAAGAACGTAATTATATACAAACGCCATTTTTTTCATTGTATTTAGATTCGACATCGGCACACGAACCACTTTTAACTTCCCGGATTTAAATTCATTCGATTTTCTTCAAGAGGCATGCAGTTTTTTTCAAATTAATCAAGTGCTCCTCCTAATTTACCCTTTTTTTTAACTTCGGAATATCTCTATCTCTTTCTCCCCCCCCCACTTTCTCTCTCTCTCTCTCTCTCTCTCTCTCTCGAAGATGCTCTTTTAATGCAACACGCGAATTTTTTTAATATCGCAAGAGCATTTTTAAATTCTCCTAAATTTTCAGCGTCTATTCTTATTTTTTATACGTTTTGCTTTCGCGAAAATATTATCCCCTCGCGATATGATTTTTTTTTAAGGTAAATTCTCTTACACGCATAAATATAATATATCATACGAAAAGCGTGCTTTAATCTTCTTATATCTCCTATATAGAATAGCAGCAAAATTTATTTGCATATTGCTCATATGTTAAATTTACATAATTTATTGACGCAAACAAAGAATTCAATTGTTTATTAAATAATCAATTTTTCTCTTTCCTTTTCTTTTTAATAACTTACAAAGAATTGTTTTTTGATAATCTACAATTCATCAGAATACAAAAAATATTAATTTTTCAATTTTTCAAATATAAATAGCCTGTCTGCTCTTTCTTCTTATATGTGCTTCAAGCTCTAATAAACAGCAAATATATAATTGGAATTGACATTTCTTAAATATTTGAGGATTATATCCAGATTAATAATTACTCTCGACTAGAAATTTCTGATAATCAAATGCAGTTACGGTGACACATTGATAAATTAGTTTAGTCTAAAGTAGCGTGACTTTCATGTACGATGTACGTCAAGATACAACAACGAGATTAGCGCGATAGATTGTACCACTTTACGGAAGTTTGGTGGATATTTATATTTAATTAATTCTTGATGCCCCCAAAGTGAAAGATAATTAAATCAATAAATATTTTTTTACAGATATTAACCAATTATTTTCGATATGTTTCAGAATGCTTATCAACTCAGTTCTTTTTCTGGCAGTCTGGATCAATTCGGCGATTGCGGAAGAATCATCTCCCAGCGATGCTATGTCCGACAAACGAGCGCCTATGGGGTTTCAGGGTATGCGCGGAAAGAAAAATCTCATCCCCACTTCGTTAGAACATAATAAATTGTCTCAGAGAACGCTAATGGATTTTCAAGTAAGCTACGAAGAAAAAGCAGAAAAAGAAATCGTTTTACTTAATTCTTACTTTCTGAATTATTTATGAGAAACAAAATGTGTTAATTATAGGATACGCGTGATGATAAGGAGTCGAACGCGCCCGATATTGAAGATAATCTTTTGCACGAGTTTGAGAAACGGGCACCAATGGGATTTCAGGGTATGAGAGGGAAAAAGGATTATTTGACGCCTGATTTCGAAGATTCCTACTTTCGTAACGAGAAAAAAGCACCGATGGGTTTTCAGGGTATGAGAGGCAAGAAAATTATTTCGGAGGATGAGTATTATAAACGAGCACCAATGGGATTTCAAGGAATGAGAGGAAAGAAGTCTTTGGAAGAGGTAAGCCTAAAAATATTCAATATTAATTAAATTATTGCACTTGAAGAGAATTTAAGACAATAAAATGCATAATTCTTTAAATATTCTTTTGAAGTATGACATCGTACACAAATGGATGTTATAAATTATAATCTACTTTTTGCTCTCTGAGTCTTCTGTTTTAAATGGAAATACGTAATTATCCCATAAACATTTAATTATAACATTTTTTAATCATCCACGAGCATTTAAATATAATCTATTTTTAATTAGCGATATTTACTTAAAATTCTTAATGTTACTTCTTATGTTATATTCTATTTTCCTGAAAATTGAATATATAAACAGGTGTTAGGCGAAATTGAAAAGAAGGCCGCGATGGACTTTTATGGTACGAGAGAGAAAAAGACATACGTTTTCGAATATCCGGAAGATTACGAAAAGAGACTTCTCGCAATGGGATTTCAATGTACTCGTGACAAGTTGAAAGAATTTCCGGGAGAGTGGGAGAAAAGGGCTCCCATGGGATTTCAAGGGATGAGAGGCAAGAAATCATTGTTCGACGAGATAGAAGAACTTGAGAAACGGACTATCATGGGTTTTCAGGTTATTTGCTCAATTGTGAAGTTATATATCTACTATCCATTTCAAGGAAAAAGCGAAAATATACATAAAATAGTATATAATTTTGTCATAATTATTACAAAAAGAAATGAATAATATATA